TATCTCAAAATTTTGGTCACAGAAAAAACGGGACTTAGAGATTGAGGGATTGCATGTTCTTTTATTTCATTATCTTGAGTTCCTAAAATAAGGTACTTGAGAAATCAACCTCATAATTAGTTTCCGCAGTTCAAGCAAATAATTTTATTACCCATTGATAAATGGACCTTGGACCTAACTCAACCCCAAAAGTTAGCTTATGAGGTGAGGATTGCCCAAGACCATATAAGAAGACCATGGACCTCAAATCCCACCGATGTGGGACAACTCAACACCCCTCCCCCCCAGCCCAGGCCTGCAAACTGGAGAGTGGACAACATAAAATGGAGCCCAACATCGGTAACAATAATCGGGATGGGCCTGGCTCTGATACCATGATAAATGGACTTTGGGCCTAACTCAACCCCAAAAGCTAGCTTATGAGGTAAGGATTGCCCAAGACCATATAAGGAGATCATGGACCTCAAATCCCACCAATGTGGGACAACTCAACACCTATGAATCTAGATACTTTATTTTAGACCTCGTATCATTTATAAATGAGCTTTAGATCATATTTTAATAATATGTTTCTCTTCTCCATTAAAATGTTTCTCAAACCCTTCCTACCGCCAAATAGGTAATATGGATCCCAAACGCCTACTGAAATATGTCGAGTTACCTATACACCCTCTTTGAATTATATTCTTGGCTGTACTTTTAATTTCGTATTCATTAGTTTCTTAATGACTTAATTGCTTAATAACCTTTTTCAATACATGTGCTTGCATGAAGGACTACCCTTATTAATACTTGTACTTTCATGAAGGACCACAATATGAGAAGGAGAATTCATATTGAACATGAGTTACATGGATTTTACTATATTAACTTTTCGAGACCACCCATAGCTTGTCATCTGACCAACTCATTTGATTACATCCCGTTTTATCTAAACTTCGAGAAAGTGGTATCTTGTTTGTCATTGTTTTGATAAGATAACTAATTTTATTAAGGATTAGGGAAAATTCCATATACAAGTCATACATCCCAAAAAAAAAGAGCGTACACCAAAATATGATTCTCCACAAAAGAGGCACAATCCTATCCTCTACACATATAGGGGTCTTATGAGTACACCAAAAAGAAACTAGAAACAAACGACTTTGCAATTTTACAAAATCTTGTTCCACCCTTCAAATGCCCTCCTATTTCTGAGAGGGAAAAAAAATTGAGATGGAAAAATATATATAAAAATGCCCTCCTATTTCTTTCTTTCCAAATAACTCACATGAGTGCTAAGGGGGTAACACACCAAGCTCTTGGACTTCTCTTCCCCCTGCTATGAGCCCAACTATGTAACGCTTTTTTCACTATGCCCGGCATCACCCATTGCACCCTAAACAAACTAACGACCACCTTTCACAAATGATTAGCCATTTTACAACGCAATAAGAGATAATTTACATCTTCGCCCGAGCTTTTGCACATGAAACACAAACTGACGTAGGTGATCCTCCTTTCTCAGATTTTTCGCTGTCAAAATCACTCCCTTTGCTGCCAACAATGCAAAGAAACATGCCTTTCTCGGCGCTCTAGAAATCCAAATAGAGCATCAGGGAAAATATGTTCCTCTCACCCTAATAACCTCTTATAATAAGATTTAAGAGTGAATAATCCATCTCTATTTTCTCGCCATTTTCATACATCAATATAATGTTCAGTGTATCAACCCGTACAATACCTCAACATAGTTGTGAAATTCCTACTCCCAATCATGTAGGTTCCTCATGAAGCTCAAATATTAAAAAACAACCCCCCCGTGATACCTTCAAATTTGATGGATTGTCATCTCTCTTTGGCATAATACTCTGTATATGTTGGGGAAGGCTTCCCTCAACTCGTTCTCCCCGCACCATTTATGCGCCCAAAAACTAATCTTGCTTCCATCCCCAACATGGAAAAACATGTCCACTAAAGTCTTCTCACTCTTTCATGATACTCCTCCATAAACCACATCCATACGGTACTGATGTTTCTAGTCCTCCATCCTCCTTCCGTGATATCATATTTTTTCGTTACCACCCCCCTCCAGATGCATTCTCCTCCACCCCAAATTCTATATCCATTTCCCTAGCAAAGTTTTGTTGAAGACCTTGAGATCTTTTACTCGAAGTCCTCCCCATTCCTTTGGAGAAGTCAAAACTCTCCAATTTACTAAATGATACTTTCTTGTTCCTCCCGTTGTGTTCCATAAAAAGTTTAGCTGAAGTCTTTCCAACCTTTTATTTAATTTACCAGGAGCCTGCAATAGTGACATAAATATGTAGGTATGCTAGAAAGAGTGTTTTTTTATCCATACTTCCATCCCTCCTTTCGACAAATACCTCTTTCCGATCCAATAAGCCGCTTCTTACTCTCTATCACCGGATTTCACACTACAAGATCTTTGCTCAAAGCACCCAACGATAGCCCCAGGTAGGTAGTAAGTAAAGTACCCACCTTACAATTCAACATTTGTGCAATCTCTTCAATATTCTCCACTTCTCCAACCGATGTGATCTCACATTTTCTGAGATTGATTAAGCCCTAACATAACCTGGAACGATATAAGCATTTGTCTCAAGTGAACTAGTTAGGACACCTCTGCATCACAAAAAAAATGGCATCGGCAAATAAGAGATATGTAATTATCACATTACTATGCCTTCTAAACAAAGCATCAAATCGTTCAATAGTCCTTCAATGACCGACCTATCCATCATTTTGCTCGATGTTTCCATCACCAAAATGAACAACGCATGGGATAGTGAATTCACTATCTCAAACCCCTCGAACTCCCGGAAAACCACATGGACTCCCATTCACCAAAATACAGAATCTGGCAGTAGAAACACAAAACTTGATCCATCTCCTCCATTTATCCCCAAAGCCCATTTTCAACATAATGAAATCCATAAAATCGCAATTCACATAATCATAAGTTTTCTCAAGGTCCAGTTTACATAAAGTTCCCAACTTACATAGCCTCCGAAACTCGGGAATAATGGGCTCATCTCTCAGTCCTTCTCCACTTAAATACAAAGCTTAGTTTGCACGACCCAGGGCTCGAACCTGTGACAAGTCACGAGTCCCTCAACTTTTGCCACTTGAAGTAAGCCCTAAGGGATTAAATGAATATAATAATTTGAGAAATTTATTTATCTAATAAAAGGTCATAGAAGAGAATCAAAGTTTGTACCACGAAGCTTAAACCTAGAACCGCTCACCAGGCACAAGAAGCTAAAGGACATCTCATCAAAACTGGAGTTTTGAGGAGTTATTTCCTATCTAATTTCATCCACTTAGGTCAAAAGAGCACTATTGACTACCTAATTTCGAGCTTAAGAGAACTTATCATTGAAGCACTTCAAGGACTCACAAATTCTAATTCCTTGAACATTTCTCAATTGGTGTGTCACCATTACGCAGAGGCCATAAACTTTTATATAATTCCTTAAACATATAAATGTTAGTTCTGAGATTTCTCTGAGAAATATAAAATCAAGGAAAGAGTTCTAGGATTGAGACAAATAAAGCAGGTAATTGAATATGGAGGAAAGAGAAAACATTGAAGTTGTTGTCAACTTATTTGTCTCTATTCCAGATAACTCATGGCCAGCATTGTTCAAGCCAAAAAGCTTTAAGAAGCGCTCCAAGTCTATTGGGGCTTTAAAAGGGTAGTTAAAGTATGGGCTTTAATTAAAAAAGACATAATGAAGAAACAAAATAAAAATATATCTATAATGCAAGATAAAAGTAACAAATTCATTGATAATGTTTTTATTTAACAATTAAAATATCTCATTGTTGATTATATTTATTATTTAGTACCGTTCGTCTCAAGATAGCATGCATGGGAAATAAAGCGCATGCTTTAGTTCCTTGCCTACACTAAGCAGCTTAAGTGAGGCAAAGCGCACTCCCTGAGCTTTTTTAGGCTTCAGGGCTTAAGCGCGTCTTAAATGAGCCTTTGACAACACTGTTCATGGCTACATATTCTTGAGAGATTATTAGCCGAAGGGTGTGGTCTAGTGGTCAATGAAGTGGATAAGAACTATGAGCTCTTAGGTTCAAATCTCAGCGGAGGCAAAAGCATACTAAGTGATTTCTTCCCATCTGCCTAAGCCTTGGTGGGCAGAGTTACCTGATACTTGTGTTGCTGGAAGGTAGTACGTATCCGATAGAATAGTGGAGGTGCGTGCAAGCAAGCCTGAACAACATCTTCATTCAAAGAAAAAAACAAAGTCTAGTGCCTGGAAATACTAATCTCACTTTATTTGGACTCATGTTGAAAGGACAGCATTTGTCTGATGCCAAAGCTCTCTCTTTCTCATTTGTCCTTTTTCCTCACCCTCATCTTTGGTCCTTGCAACTCAGATCTAATATAAGTGCTCTACTATTGTCCTAAAAGCCAGTGCGTGTTTTGCATTTCAAATAGGGGAATTACTTGCTTGTGATTGTGTTCTTTACAGAACCTATTTTCTTGATTCAAATGCAGGAAATTTGAGTTATACAGTAATCAATAACAATCTATTACTCCATTGGAAACAAAAAATCCATAACAAAAGTTACCATTAATACAACAACAATAACACCCCAGTATAATCTCACTAGTGGGGTCTGGGGAGGGTAGTGTGTACGCATACCTTACCCCTACACTGGGGTAGAGAGGCTGTTTCCGATAGATTCTCAGCTCCCTCCCTCCAAGAGAACTCCCCACTTTGCTCTTGGGGTGACTCGAACTCACAACCTCTTGGTTGGAAGTGGAGGGTGCTCACCACTAGAGCAACCCACTATTGTCTAAAAGTTACCATTAATACAAAAGAAGCATTATCATAAGTTATGAAATTGGGTGCGACAGGTCTGCTTGAAAAAAGAATCGGAATGTGGTACAGTAAGTTTCCCGGGAAAAAGAAAACAACAATCCCTAATAGTTCCAGCTCTAAGTTTTGCTTTCAAAAGCCACGAAAGAAAGGGTGTCAGAGCTAACTTTGTCACTTTTTGGAACAACACACTATTACTTCAGAAACTAACAATTGTCCTCAGGCTTATCAGAAAAAATAAACACCAGTTCTCATGCCTTCTCTATCAGAGTTAGATGCAGTGAAGGAGGGACAAAAACAGACCAAATTTCTACTATATTATATTAGGTTAAAACAATTATAACAGTAATAAAAGGTACCTGCTGAAGGGTCAGTAAAAGCCTTCTAACCAATTTCTGCATAGCATCACAAGGAAAAGCATGAACTATGATCCATCGATCGGTCAAAGGATTTCTTTTTTCAATTCTGCCCAACCACTACTGCTTCTTACAAATTTGTCCACTATACCAAACTCTTTATTCTGCGCCAACCTCCTAGAATAGTTCTCAGTTGAAATGAGGCCCTTCTTAAGTCTCCTATAGTAAATGATTTCCCAAGGCCACAAGCGAGAACAACCAAAATAAGTTTCCACAGGTAACTCATTTTCTCTCTTCTCTTGGTTCTCTAGCGCATAGTGTTTGAGAACCCGGTATACTTCCTCCGAGGATAGACTTGTCAAAGTAGCGGCATGAAGCCTCTCAGCAACTGGTGAACCAGAATTTGGATTTTGTGCCCATGTCTGCTCTTCCACCACATCATTATTTTGAAGCTCCCTTGTCTCTGCCAAACTCTTTGGAGATGCACTCCATGTTGTAAGATCACACGTGTCAGATCCTGTGGTATTTGAATTTTTCCATTGACAAGAATCTTTGCCTATATCTATTGCATCCCTCCTCTGACAACAATCATGCTCAACATCCTCTTCCAGTTCAGTAACTGCAGCGTCACCTTGATTTTCCACTTGAACAATGATGGTTTCAAGCTTAGAATCATCCATTCTAGCAGCACTATTTTCCAGTGGTTCCCCTTCAAATAAAACTCCATTAGACTGAGAGTCACCAGCATCCACGAAAGTGGCCTTCTGATATTTCTGCACCTTTTCCGGAGACAGAGATGATGTAGGAGAGCTTGACCTCGACTTCATATTAGACTTGTAACTTTTACCTCTGGTATGAAGGGTTGATGAACCAGAATGTGAACTGGAAAATGGAGAATCTTTAATGGAGGATACTAATTTTGACCTAGATGGTGAGGGAGACTGAGACAAAGACCTCATTGACCTAGAAGAGGACCGTGACTGAGATGAAGTATGATTCGAATGATTTGAAGGTGATATTGACACCCTGGCTTTTTTTGGAAGAAACTTCTCAATACTCCCCTGTTCCTTCCAACATCGCTTGTTTTCTCTGTGGTTGTTTCTTCCACCTCTGTGAGTCGTCCTTGCTGAAGGAGAAGATTCACTCCTCAATCTATGGCCATTTCTGGATTCAATAGCCTCCCTGATACCTTTGGTCATCCTCAATGATATTGTGTCACGACCAGCTCGAAGTCTTCTTGAAGTCCTGGATTCAAGCCTCTTGATCCCCTGGGGACACTTCTGCATTTTGTGACCTGCTTCACCACAGTTGTAGCAAGCATTTTGAGTCTTAGGATCAATTTGCTCTACTCCTGCTTTCTCTTCAGGCTTCCTCAAAGAGAGTGAACCATCCCCATGTGTCAAAACATTTTGCTCCTTCCGCTCATCAGCCTCATTAGGTTCATATCTATCAAACTCCAATCCATCCTCAAGGACATTTTCATTCATTTGGTTATCATTTTTTGAGAGGTTTCCCTCAACACCTCCACCTTGATCCGGAAAATCATCCACGAAGGGATGATGTTCCTTGTAATCTTTTTTATTCTCATGGCATGCCTCATCCGTAATTTCAGCAGGAAGCCTTTCGCCACCATTCCCTTGCCTAAAACTTTCTTTATAACCTTGTTCCCCATTTGAACCAACCCCACGATTAACATGGTCAACATAATCTTCCCTAGCAGAGTGCGTCCTTCCTACTGCTTCAAAAGATTTAACATCTCGTGTATATTTCTGCAAGAACCGAGGCTGCTTATTAGACCATGAAAGACTTATTGGCTCTCCACATATGAACTTCCCTCGAAGTGTTTTTAGAGCTTTCTCAGCATTTCTATGATAGTCATAAACTACAAATCCAAATTTGTCTTTCACGCGAACATTACACCGTCCGAATCTCCGGAAAGCACGCTCAAGTTCATCTCTACGAATGCGAGATGATAGGTTACCAAGGTGCAGAGACATCTGTAGCATAAGACATAATGTTACTAAACATTTAACCAGAGCTCATCTGTTCATACAGATAGATATTGCACATGTGATTCATAACTTTTTCTCTTGGATAGTAAGCAGCCAAAAAACAGTGTCTGTCAAAATATTGACTCATGAACTGCCATGTGAACTACATACCAAAAAGTAAATTGAAGAATATGCAAATTTTCCCAAACATATTGGAGTTTGTATTCTAGATCCTCGACAACTTACATCCAGCTCACAGCACTCAAGAAGCAGACTATATCTTAATAAAGCATAAAATTTAAATAAACAAATAAATAACTGCAAATACATCTTTGTTTTGTCTCATTTCTTCTTCCTAACAGAAATTAAATGGCACAGCCAATAAATACACACACACACACACACACACACATACACACACACATATATATATATATATATATATATATATATAATATATATATATATATATGTATGTACGTGTATATATACTTGATGAGCTAATTGAACACCACATCGATTGTAATGCACACATTGAGCTATCATTGAGCTACTAATGAAATCCTATTTCTTCCTTGACACCAGATAGCCAAAGACCATATCAAATCAAGTAAATACTTCGAATATTTCCATTTCTTTCCGTAAACTCTTTTCCCTGTACCCAACTAGCAAAAAACGGCTATCCACTATTTTCACTATAGTATTAACTTGGAATAGTGTTTTAAGACAAAATTTTATGGATTACCACCAACAATTGAAAAAAAGAATAATACAAAACAAAAGATAAAATAAACAAAATTGGAAAAAGCACAACAATGTTTTCAATCTCAAAGTAACCAAGTTACAAAAGCGAAGCATTTACTGACTTACAACAAGCACAGATGAACCACAAGGACAATCACAATGACAATTAAGCATTCATTTCTCTCACAAAACAAAGAACATGTGTACATGTACATATATGCTGATTGAGCCATCATTTCTCTCTCAAAACAACGAAGACATATACACAAATATGTTATACATCAATCCCAAGCTAGTTGGACTTGGCTATAAAGGGCGGCCCGGTGCACTAAGCTCCCGCTATGCGCGGGGTCCGGGGAAGGGCCGGACCACAAGGGTCTATTGTACGCAGCCTTACCCAGCATTTCTGCAATAAGTTGTTTCCACGGCTTGAACCTGTGACTTCCTGGTCACATGACAGCAACTTTACCAGTTACGTTAAGGCTCTCCTTCAAACTTTACCAGTTGGAGTTGGCTATATGAATCCTAAATACCACTCCACTTGGACCCATGTCATTCTGAGTACAAACCGATTTGTCTTTTAAGAGAAACTATTTTATATACACTTTATACAACTACTACTACAACTACTACTACTACACCTCAATCCCAATTTGTTTTGTTCTACTCAACAATTTGTCTCTGAAAACAAATTAGGGTTTATCTGGCACGGGTGTTTTCTACCTTTTCTTTTTCGACTGATATATTCAAACACATGCACATGTATAAAATAGTAGAGTTGGTGTAAACAGTATCATTAAGATTCATAATAGGCCTAACTTTCTCCTATTAAAAACACAATGTTCATGCTATAAAATCATTTTCTTCGTAAATTCTAAGAATATTAATCATGAATACTGCCCAAATGGGTATCTTTCTTTTCCATGAAATGTCAATAACACGCTAAAAGAAACTATTATGGGTGCAAAAGAGAGAAGAGAAGGGCAATGGAAAGCTCTAGCAAATTCAAGAAACGTATTATCAAAGAGAGCATACATACACTAATAGGCAAGCAAAGAAAATGGGTTTCTATATATGGGACTACCTTGAAATGGCCTCCTCTGCGATTGGGCTCTTTTGCCTCTGTTTGGTTTTGGATCTTTTGATTTGGGAAGAAAGAACAAGGGGTGAGATATTAGAGCTCATTTGTAATTACCTGAATGACTTTAACTTATCCACACTAATCTATATCTATATATTATTATTAAAAGACACAATTTTTAAAGTTAGTTTTAGTATTTTAATATTTTTAAAATATTTACTTGAGTTATTATACAATTTTAGTCTTTTATTTTAATTTTTAAACATAAAATTGAAAACACAAAAATAGTTTCACTTTTAATATTTAGTTTTATTTTAGTAATCTTTTCTAATTAACTAAGAGTGATCTTATATTTTTGTAAGTACTTTAAATTATTTTTAGGAGAAGGTTTGGATTTTTAGTTAATGAATTTTCAGTTTTCTAAGAGTTGAATAATCCGAAATTGGGCCAATTCGGAGCTCATTTTTGGATTATTAGTAGCCCAGCAAGACAAATGCTTATTCTTCTCATTCTCTCTTAGCCCAAACCCGTTTTTAACGCAATTGACCCATCCCACTTTTGTTCTAATCTTACCCATTGATTTGATTTAATCCAACATCCCAAACTTTCCCTTTACCTCACATAAAACATCATTTTTTTCATTCTCAAAACCCTAAAGAGACCCCTAAGAGCTGCAACCCACCCAAACATCTCTGCCCGCCGCGCTATTCGCCGGAAAATCACCACGTGTTTTGGTCCCCCATCACTCCTCTCTCTTCCCTCCACATGGTGTGACACATAATAAACCCGAATATTCCCCATTCTTTCTTCTCACTCGATCTCACGTGATATATCTCTCTATAACAAATGAAGGATGGATGGGAGCTAAGGGATTAATAAGCATTTAATCCTCTTCATCCATTTGTCCTAAGTTAGTTGATTTCAGAGAGATTTTTCTCCTTTTGGGGGGATTTTTGAATTTATTGGGGAAGAAGAATAGAAGGTTCTAGGCTCAAGTATTTAAGGGGTGAATCTCAGTTTTACAGAGGGATTTTTTGACAGAATTTTTGGAGAAGAAATTAGGGAAAAGAACTAGGGTTCTTGTTTTGGGGTTTGGATCTTCCCTCGTACGATTTTCCGTGCTAGTTCTTTCAAAAATTAATTAGTTCTTTCACCTCTTACTTCAAATCCGAAAATACAAAATATACAAAGGCGACTCTGAAAATCCTTTGAAACACAATCTTTTGTCACTTTCAATTTGAAAACCCTTTTGAGCTTCAAAAACTACTATTTTTTCCTTTAAATAGGGTTAAAGGTAAAAAGGGGTGTGACAGCTTTGGCGACTTTGTTGGGGAGTTGCAGGTTCGAGCTAATACTATGATCTTGTTGGCTTTTTAGGATACTCAATTGAGGCATTTCTCTGTGTTTTATTTTTTTTATTATTATGTTTTTATACTTTGTTATTATTTGCTAGTTGTTTATGTGTACAGTTTTTCCTTTATGTGTTATTGCTTTATAACTATCATCATTTGCATAATCGTGAGTCATCCTATATGCTAAATGTTGCATCTTTGAGGGTAAAAAAGTCATTTGGCGGACTGATGTTTGGGAAAGAAGGTTGAAAAATGAAGTAAGAGAGAATATTGACGGTTTTATCACTTTTAGTTTTCTTGCTCCGTTTTCTAAAAAGGAAAAACAACAACAAAAAATAAAAAAAAAGATTTTACACTTTCTTATCATTTTCAAAAAAGGCAAAAATAGTTTTTCCAATTTAGTTATTTTTTTTCAAAGCTTTCTCCCATATCCAATCCTCTCGAACTACGCATACCTGATTCTCATCTTTCGGGGCGAAATACGTAGGCAACCCATATAGAGTCCGGTCTTCCTAGTGAGTCTCAAGTTCTTGGCTTCGGGGGTCGTAGCCAAATCTTACATGTTTAGCCATATTTGGCCACATCGTCTGTCTTTGCAAAATAGGGATATTTTTACAAAAGTGGCTTGTTAACTCATGTCTTAGAGTCCAAAGTCCACAACAAGGTGTCCTCTTAGGTTAAGGTCCATTCTTGTTGAATTTGTATGCTCAGCCATTTCTGGCCACATAGGTCGTTTCTGCAAAAGGATCATTTTTGCAAAGTAATTATGGGGATTATGATTCCTTGAAGTTCAAGGCCATATAGGCCTTCGTGAGGTGTTCTATGTCTTAGGGGTAACCCTTATTGAATTTGCATTTCTAGCCACCTTTTGGCCATATAGGCCAGTTTGCAAAAAATAGCCTCAATCGTGTCTTGCATGTGTCCAATATGAGGTGTTATGGCTCACGTAGTGTCTTGAGTCACTAACTCTGTTTGTTCTTATCCTTCTCATTCAGGTTTGGATCCACTCACCATAGCTTGAGCATGACAGACGTCCTAGGGCCATCCCAGCTAGGACTGTTGCCTTCAGGAGTTGTTTGAGGAGGCTCTTTATATTTTTGAGTCTGTTTTCATGTTTTATTTTACTTTCTTGCCTTGTCCAGTAGTATTGAGTCTTTTAAGTGGTGTCAGAGTCTGTCATAGTCTAGCTGAGTCTGTCGAGTCTTTTGTCATCGTACTTCCCATTTGTATTTGAAAACCAAAAAAAAAGTTATAAATGAAAAATCCAAAAAGATTTTTGCTTTTTAGTTTATTTTGTCCATCACTTTTCCAGAACTACGCTTGGTCTGATTCATGTGGAACATGATATGTAGGCAACTTACATCGGGTTCGATCGAATCATTTTTAAAATTAAAAGAAAAAGAAAAAGGGATGAAGTTGTGGGATGTGAGAAATGAGAGGAAAGAAAAGAATGGTAAGTATAAAGAAAAAGAGAGGAAAGAAAATGATGTAAGCCAAGAAGTGCTAGAAAAGAAAGAAAAAAGAGGTCGGGATGATGACATATGGCTTTGCGACCCTCAAAGTCATTCTAGAACCGTTAATTTTTACTAGGTGCATTGCACGTAATGTGATATTATTATCTGATAAATGCCCTAACGCTAACATGTTGGTTTTGGTTTGCTCCTTTTCGTTATCTTTATTATTATAAAACAGGAAGGTGGTTAGTTTGTGGCACATTGGCAAGTCATCCATACAACACTAGGTCAAAGCGCAAGGCAGTCATAGCTAACAAAGAATTGAACACATGTGTTGTTGACCCATCGAGCGAGATTGTGGAATCGAAGCCTGAGTTGAAAGAGGAGGTCCAAAGGTTGAAACAGTAGATGACAAAGATGTATCAGGCTTGGATCATGGGGCATCCTCCACCTTCATTCCCCACTAACTACACAGAAAATCATGCCACTGTCCCATCACTATCACAATCCTAGATTCCCACTACCGTTGATCTTTTCCCTCAACATGCACCAGGATTTATCCCTTACCACAACTACCATCGCACCTTTTCCCAACCTTTTCATGCTCCACCGGCCAAAACATACCCATATCCTGCCCCAACATCTACTCCTATTTTTGTATCCCCTCCACAAGCTACCATCCATCGATCATCTAGTGAACTCGCGTTCAAAGTTCCTGATGCCTAATACTATGCTCTAGAACCAACTTTCAAGGTCCCGGATCCCTATTGTTATACCCCTTACTTTGAGCCTCCCGCTGAAACCGAAAAGCCCGCTAAGAATGTGGAGCAAGATGAGATATTCAAGAAGATGAAGAGTTTATAGCAATCTTTAAGGAACATGCAAGGGATATGAAGCCAAGTAAGTGTGTCTTACAATGACTTGTGCTTGTTCCCTGATGTCCAACTACCCGTCGGGTTCAAGATGCCAAAGTTTGATCTGTATGACGGACATGGAGACCTTGTGGCCCATTTGAGAGGTTATTGCAGTAAGATGAGAGGCACTGGTGGGAAGGACAAGCTGTTGATGGCCTACTTCAGACAGAGTTTGAGTGGAGCAGCCCTGGAATGGTACACCCGCCAAGATGCTAGTAGGTGGTATACATGGGACGATATGGCTCAGGCCTTTTCCAGCACTTTCAGTATAATATAGACATTGTCCCGGATCACCTATCCCTGACCAAGATAAAAAAGAAGCCTAATGAAAACTTTAGAGAATACAGGTTCAGATGGAGAGAACAAGCTGCCCGGGTCAATCCTTCGATGGAAGAAGATGAGATGGTCAAGAACTTTCTTCAAGCCCTAGAGCCTACTTACTTTGGCCATTTGATCTCAACCATGGGTAAGTCTTTTAACGATGTGGTAAAAATGGGAGAAATAGTGGAAGAGGGACTCAAGTCAAGCAAGATCATGAGCTACTTCGCTATAAAAGCAACCCCGCACGCAATCCAAAATGACATAGGAAGTTTGTTAGGCAAGAAGAAGAAGGATGATGTTGCTATGGTTGTCTCTGGACCATAGCGTGGCCCAAGGGGTCTACCTCAACAGTACACTCAGCCTCGGCCCCAACCTCGAGCCTACACCCAAGCTCCATATAATCTATCTCAACATTATTTCCCACCACAAGACCCCCAACACTCAGTTAGACCACCCCAATACCATGTTCACCACGCACAACCATATGCTCAACCCCCTCTTTACCTGCAATGGCGTGGAACAGCCCCACAAAACTCTTATCCACACCCACAACCCTACTGAAACCCTACTGGTCCGAACTTTCGACCTGGGCCTGAGTATAAAAGAGAAAGGCAGCAGTGGAAAGAGACCTTCACCCCTTTGGGAGAGTCCTATTCCAGTTTGTATCAAAGGTTAAGGCAATTAGACGTGTTGAGGCCGATTGAGGCAAAGATACCACATTCACCCCCAAAGAACCTTGATTATTCTCTAAGGTGCACATATTGTTCTGATGCCCCGGGGCACAACATAGAGAAGTGTTGGCATTTGAAAAGAGCAATCCAAGAGCTTATTGATACAAATCAAATTGTAGTACAGAGCCAGGTGTGCCAAACATCAACCAAAATCCTTTTCCAACCCATGCAGAGACCCACATGATTGAATAGTTAGTAAGGATGGGGAGTCTAGGAATTCTATCAAGCATATCTGGCACGTCTCTAAGTCTTCTGTCAAGTCGGGGGTTGCAAAACTTTCAATATCATCAGTCCCTAAATAGTGATTGAAGGTGGT